GGCCAACCGGGCGGAACGACCGGCCAGGCGGCCCGGCCCCCCGCCCCGGGCGACGAGCCGGCTGCGGCCCGGAGTTCAGCCTAGAAAAAAACAGAAAAGTAAAGTTTAGGCACCCCTGTAATAAGTTAATAACCCATGTAGCAAGCCTCGCTGAATCTGAGACCCAGGCCGAACAGGGGGAAAAAGACCCCAGTCAAGACTCATAAAAGGGCCTTTACCCGTTCAGACCCTGAATGACGAACGCAGCATAATGGGGCCCACTCGGCCAGAGCTCAATTCGTGAAAAGCAGGTCAAAAGACATGTTCTCTGGGTCAAAAGTCACATCCTAACTAAAGTGAGGAGTTGTGTCAAAGGTCACAGTCATGCCCCTGGATGAACAGTTGCAGCATTCAATTGTGGGAGTCATACCTCTTCATCCAGGGGGCTGTGCAGTAGATGTGCCTGTTCGTGCAATAGATGTGTCTGTTCGTAAAGAAGTCAAAGAAATAAGTTTCCAGTCCAGATCCAAGTCAAAGGGGGAGTCTAGATGCAGTCTGGAAGTCCGAAATTCAGGCCTGAAGGCCACAGCAGAAGCAGACCCTGAGGGAAAGGTACTGGGGCACATTCTGCAGTGGTCTGGGACTGGGGAAAGACCCAAGGAGAACTGATTCAGACCTCGCGAAGGGAGGCCAGCACTATAAGAGACCAGGCCAGCCTCCCCACACGACAGATCTCCACTGGCATTGATGTGTGGAAGTGCTGAAGCACTTGTGCGCTAGCATGTGGGGAGAATGCGCTGGCTGGAAGCTGCGCAAGCAGAGGAAGAAGAGGTCGGGCGCTGACTGGCAGAAGCAGCCATAGCTGCGCCAGCATTATTAGTAGAAGTAGAGGGGTTAGTAGTAGTCATCAGTGAGTAGCATTCAGAGTAGGTCCTCATCACTAGGGGGTGAGCATGCAGAGTAAGACAATGGAACCAAGACAGGGATCTCGAGAGAGTGGGAGAGAGAAGACAGGTTGAGAAGTTGGATATGGTGGATACTTACCTGTTGGCGCCATACCTGTGATCTGAGGGCAGACTCTGGCTGAGCCAGGCCCTATATTGAGTATGGAACGAAAGAGATTTGTACTCTGTTGGCGCTGAACTCTTGGACTCGAGATACTCTTTGTATAATGTTGTTGTGATAATATGAGCTGCGCTATCTGGTTCTCATCTCATCTCGATTTGGCTTCGTGTGAAGTTTCTCTATCTGTATGAAGACATCTATGCATGCAATGAGATACACTCCAGCAAGCTATGAACAGTCAGGTTCCTTGCACTCAGAGCCTGGACGAGGCACAGTTGTCAACTGTCGGAAATTCAACAGTCAAAGTCCAAAGGTACCTGGCCCAGGCCGCAGGTCAAGCACACACACTTGTTTGTATGCAGGTACCCAGACAGCATCAGGTCCAAGGGAGAAGTCTGCAACTGTACAATCCGGGCTCTCAGCTGTGATTCACTCTGGAGGACTGTGGGAAAATTACCCGAGGCCAGACAGCCTCGACATCTGTTACTTAAGGCTGACCTCGAGTAAGTCAAGCATTCAGTCTTGCTATGCTGCTTTGACGCTGGCTCAACTTTGACACGACGCTGGCTTCATGTTGGCTGTGCACATGCAATGACTTGCTGATTTCTGCTGCCGAGATTGACTGCGACGCTGTACACTAACCTGTAGGTTAGATTCGTAATTTTGTTTGGCTGAGGGCTAACCGAGAGACCTGCCTGCAAGGAAATTCGTGAGGGACAGATCTGCAAATCCGGGAAAATACAGGCCCGGTACTAACCGAATTCCTACAGGTACCCTAACTGCCTATCGCAGTCCCAGGCTACCCCTAGGACAGACAGGCCCCAAGCGGCCTGTACTGCTAGACGGTCCTATAGCCTATAGCCGGGTCCGGTAGAGGCCCAGAGGCCGAAACAGCAACGGTACCGGTCGGTCAGTCAGTCCGGTCTAGGTCTAGAGAGTCTATAGATAGGTTAGGCCCATCGATTCAGGGCTTTTGGCAATTCATTTTCGTGTGACCGCGTTCGTGGCCAACCAAGTGTTGCAGCGCTGAAAGTCTACAGCGGCACCTGAGACTTCAGCTACGGGAGGCAGCCATCGCCGGCCTTGGAGAGACTGCCATAGCTGGGGCCAGTCTCAGCGCATCTACCCTCTGGGGTATCTGCGTCAGGCAGGGCTGTACTGAGGCTCTTCGTTGTGTACATGTGGGCGCTGCTGCTACGGTAGCAGCCAGGCAGCCATAGCTGCCTTCTTCATCGTCAGAGTGACTCATCGGCACCAAGGACTGCACTGCGATTCATGCTCTTCATCTTGGTGGATGGCGCTAGCCTCTGGGAGGCTCTTTCAGTGTAGCGCTGGACTCTGAGAGTAGGGTTGTGTGTGGAGTGTTGAGTACCTGAGGTGGCGAGACACTGGGTTGAACTCTGTAACGATAATTGGGGTTAATTGAGTTGAGTTGGCTCATCATCAGTGTTATATTCCAATTGTGATCTTCGCAGTGTCATCTTGTGATTGGTTGTGGGAGTTTGTCAGAGAG